GTCTCCCTGGCCGCAAAGAAAGTCGCCCCTTTGTCCATGACAATAGCGGCTCCCAGGAACCGCCCAGGTCCAAGCCAAGGGGGCCTGGCGAACTCAGCAGCGCCCGTGATCGCAGGACTCCGAGCAATGAGTCTCCTTCCCATGAAAAAATTCTGTTTGCGGGCTCATGTGGCGTGCACTCGAGGCGGGGGTCATAGATTTTCAGGTAGGCCGCCGGGAAGGTCTCAGGCAGATGGACACAGGCCCCCTCGGAAGTGTTGCATCTCTTCTGACACTGAGGAAGCTTCGCCTGCAGCTATTGCAGAAACACCCAAGGCGGCAGCCGAGTTCAAAGCTCAGGTGCATGATTGGCGTTTTTCGGAGCTGCGTAGCACAGACCTTGCGGCCTTGCGAGAAGATGTCTCTGCCCGCCCTTGAGGATGAGCATTGGCAAGAACTTAGTACAACGCCGAATGGACATGGCAACGCCTCAACAGCTTCTGGAAAAACTGTACTGCCACGGCAACTCCAAGAAGTCTGAGCCATCGGCCCTTGTAACTGCCCTCTTTACCTTTCCAGGTACCGTCCGAGACACCCGGATTGCCTTCGCCAGTCACTTTACAAAATCTGCTCAAAGCAGCAGTTTGCCCCTTCTTGTAACCACTGTTTTGTGCCCCGCATCCAACTCTGCAATCGCATGTTGTTAGCTGCAACATTAACAAAGTTCTGCAACTCCAAAGTTTTCTGGTACGGACACTCGTCACCACGTTCTTGTTGTTGTTACTGCGGGCTTCAAGTTAGAACCTTTCGGATTTGAACGTACTGGTTCTTTGTAACAAGGGATGCTTGCATGTTTGGCAGTTCTGTCAAGTCACTTTCGTGTGGCTTTAAATGCAATGCTTTGCTAAAACGCTCTGCAACATCCGCGGATGTTTTGGGGCATTGGCTTTTACAGTGGCCAATTAAAGGAGTAAGGTGCCATGTAGAATCAAAAAAAGGAGATACAAGAACCTCTGTTTGATTTAAGCTTCTGTAGACCACCTAGCCTTTAATCTGATGGGTTAGGGCTTGCAGGGCGCAGAAGAGCTGGACTTGCGGTTTACAAGGTTTGTCCTTGTTCAGAGCTTAGGCCGTGTAGGGCTTACAAGGTTTTAAAAGGGCTGTCCCTGGCTTATAGGGTTAAAGGGGTTGTTGTCGGACCTGGGCCTTTTAGAGTTTCAGTTTATAAATTGAAGGCTGGGCCAACAATTGGAAGGGAATCAGTTGAGCTTCAAGTTGTTGGAGAAGCTCTGGCTCCGGCAGCCAAGCTACACATAGGGTTTTTGGAAGGTGTCGCGTTCAGGGTGTCTCGATTTTAGGCTAACTGAGATAAGTTGAGAGGGCCGGAAAGAGAGCAAATTGAGCTGTGTTTTGGTTGCATTTGGAAAGCCAGCAGGGAGAGAAGGCGTCCAAGGGAGGGGAGGTATCGGGACTCATCGGAAGCCGGAAACTTCTTTCGATTTATTGGGGGGCCCCCCAACCCCGTCTTTATTTCTCCGAAATATTGCCGGACCTAAGGGGGTCCGATATCATTGATCCGGAGAGGTTCAATGGTGATGCAAAATGACCGCCAGAGCTCCGATGGAGCTCGCTTTTGCAACTGAGGTCTCCGTGAGCAAATTGTGTTTTGTCCTGCAGTATCCTTCCAGTCAAAGAGCTTTCCGCTTCAATCTGGTGACGTGGTTTAGGATTTAGGGTTTAAGGTGTAGGGTTTGGGGCACCTGAAATTCCGAATGTTTAAATTCGAGACCACAAATTCCCGTGGCCCGCTCGAATTTCGGGAAGCACTGGGGTGCTCCAGCAATCTGTTCACAGCTGCCGTCAGATCTTACACTCATGCAAGAGAGGGGACGTCTGAATCATGCTGCTGACGGTTCTCATGATTGTGTAGCATTGTGGAAATTCAAGCTTGTTGGGGGTGCTGAGTGGCTACTCAGTGGCTGCCAAGTGGTAGGCATGTTTGCTACAGCCATGCGGGCTTCTGAGTTGACCAACTGTCGGCCACCCTGAGTGTGCGAAGGATTTTTCCGGGGTTCTTGGATGAGCACATGGTCCTACTAGATCCTACTACCCCATCGGGCTGCGCTACGATGCATGTCTTTTTGGTCTTTTTTGGGTGCATCAGCGCGCTTCGAATGCAAGCAGTTTAAAGAATCGCCCAAGCTTCACCAGGGCGATAACGTTTCTATTGGTTAATCCTGGCTTGAAGCCAGCCTCGAGATGCCAATAGTGCTCGGCCCGAGTGTCCTTGTTGATTGACGCTGGCAGTCGCCGAGTGTGAGACGGGATGGATTGATTGCGGCTTGCACCTAGTGAAGCGAAAAAAGAGCCGTCTTCCCTTGAGCAAGAAGCATTGCGTGGATGGTGTCCGCACAGTTGGTCCTCATGATGAGATGGGGAGCAGGTCCAAGCTTCGTAGCTCACTAGATGTTGCCCACCGCTTCAACCCTGTAGCGAATATTGGCTTCTTAAAATTGACGCGACGCAGACCATGAGACCGTGCGCCCGCGCGGTCTGCACCCACTGCGGCTGCAACGTCAGCCTGCTGGGGCTGGATGGCCTGGGCATCCTTCGCAGGAAGCATGAGAGGCAGTGCCGCTGATCCGATGCACAGCCAAGCAGGCGGTTGCTGTTGCTGCCCGAGTCGACATCTCCGTGGACGTGCGGATCTTGTCCAGCGAGGACATGGCGCGGATGCTCTCGCTAACGCCAAACGAGCTCCGCGCGATCAAGAGAGTTGACCCAGAGTTGGCCAAGCAGGTCATGAGCGTGGCAGTGGTGGGGTGGCGCCCGGGCTCCGATGCAAAAGCCACCCTGCGCCCGGCCATGGCCATGGGGCCTGGAGATGGCGACAAGGTCATGGTCCAGGCGCGGGCTCCGCGCATCCCCGTCCCCGTCGTGCAGTCGGTGGAGTTGGATTGCTTGGACACCTCGTTTCTAACGAACAAGCATTGTATCCAAGCACTTCTTCCCCTCCCTTACCCCCCCCGTCCCCTTGCCTTCTTCCTCCCAACCTCTCTTCCCCAGGTGCGGCTCAAAGCACCCTACACATCGCAACGCATCACATAGCTTGTCTGCCTCTTGTCTGGTTTCAAACTGCATCCAGAACCAGGCCCCTTGGTGCCCCTGCATGTTTTCTCTTTCCAAGCTGGCTGTGCATGCAAACCTTCGTCAATGCAGAGTATCCTAGTTGTGCACGTTCAGAACCTTTCCGATTACGAAGCACATGAAGCACGTTCAGTGCTGCTAGCTACTGGCAAGGCCCGTTTGCCTTGGACGCAAGGATCATCTTCGCTGATGGCTCTAGCATCGTCTTCTCCCTGGTAGATTGCAGATGTCAGAGTTCTGCAATGTTGTGCACATTCAGGGCGAGGGGTGTCCCCATCTCCAATACTCCGCATCACAGCTGCCGTCGAATCTTTCAGTCATGCAAGAGAAGGGGCAATCTGAAGCATGCCGCTGACGGTTCTCATGATTGTGCAACATGCAGCATTTAGCTTGTTGGAGCAAGTGCTAAGTGGCTTCCTTCTAAGTACTAGCACCTTCATGTTTGCTCTTAGTCAACAGCCCCACGAGAAGCCTTTAAGGTCCCAGTCGCAAGGGCCCCCTTGCAGCGTGCAGCGACCCGAAAGGTTTAGGTCCCACTGCCTACTGGCCTTGGGCTTTGGGGTTTTGGGAAGAAAGGGCCCTGTGTGTGGAAGCCTGGCTTGGGGAATGATGTGCAAAGTTAAGTGGTTTCCTAATGTTGTGGGATCCAGTGGGCGGGTGGGTACTTCTCTGTCACTTGACAAGCTGCTTGAGTGAACGCCTGGACTTGAGGTGCTGAGCCCAAAACCCTAAACCCAAAACCTAAAAGACCCAAAACCTAAACCCTGAACCCTAAACCCTACATCCTCCCTAAACCCTACATCCTAAACCCCATTTTCCGCCGCAGCTTGTTTGGTTGTGGAAAAGAACGCTCGTGGCAAGCCATGGCCCAGGCGGGACGAGCAATTCCGTTTTCCTTTTTGCAGAGCAGTCCATGCCCTTGACATGCCCGGAAGCCACAAGCTCGGTATCCTCGGACTTCTTATATGCATATATACATACATATATATATATTACTTAGTATCCTCGAACTTCTTCCACCTGTATATATATATATACAACATACATACATAACATATGTACATATATATATTTGTGTTTCGTTTAATAGAACCGAAAGTAGTCGCGAGCAACAGGTGTGAATGTGAGAGCTCATGTGAGGTAGGGTTCGAGGGTCTATGCGTCCATGGTTTTGTCGGCTTTTTCAGCTGTCTCCCCCTCGTACTTTCTGTTCAGCTTTTGCTGTCACAGGGTCATGGACATGTATGGCAAATCCGAAGCTCCACACCCCTGAGCCCCACGACGCAATGCCCATGAGGCATGCAGATGTAGGCAAGCCTGCTTTGGCAGGCACTGGAATCATCTTGCGCTGAGGCGGGCGCTGACGAGCCAGGTTTGCAGAAGCACAGGGATGTAAGTTGGCCTTGGAACTGGCTAAGACTTTTCTCCGCAGTCCGTTTAGGCGAGGCGGAGATTAGGCACAATTGCTGTGGGCCAATATGGGCTTGCAAGAGTTGGGCCTCGTGTTGGACTGCCAAAGTCGTGGCTTCAGATTCAGGGTTAGGGTTTGGGGCTCCGGCTGGCAGGTTTTGGAGCTGCTACTTTAAACTGCCACGACAGGTGCTGTCTTGCAGTGTTTCGGAGAGCGTTCGCTTGGGTGCGTTTGACCAAAAGCATCCCTTCACCTCGACCGCCACCTCCCTGGAGCCTTTCTTGCAGCTGTGGGCAAGGTGCGATACCCAAGGATACAGGTTTTAGTGTGCGGATGCAAATTCACGCGTATCAAGATGGCCTCGGCACACAGCTATGAGGTATAAGCGTCGAAGTATGTGTGTGAGCAACATAGAAACACAGAGACTGGACTTCAAGTTCGCGGTGCCCCTGCCTTTGAAGCCATGGAACCTAGTGCTCTTCGGGTGGGGGACTTGATGTGCTTTCCCAGAGCTTCTCTTAGCAGCTCACAGGAGACCCTAAGGCCCTAAGGGTTGAGGATTTCGGGGTTTAGGGTTAGTGTTAACTGAGGTTTAGGGTTTCGGGTTCCGTCCCTTCAACGAAATAGGATTTCTGCCACGCAAGCGCCAGCACATCGTGCGCAAGCCTACAGATTTTCTTTCGTCATCGTTTCCCTTCGAAGTCAACAGAGGGACTCCTGCGTAAATAGCCTGGGTCATTGTCGAAACTCATGTGACGCTGTTATGAATACCTAAACCCAAAAAGGGACAAGAATGATGACTTTCAAACCCCAGCAATGGTGCAGTAGCCCTCAGTGCAAACCCTAAACCCTAAACCCTAAACCCTAAACCCTAAACCCTAAACCCTAAACCCTAAACCCTAAACCCTAAACCTTAAACCCTAAACCCTAAACCCAAAACCCTAAAAATCTTTCGGAACATTTCATGCGGTGCCAGCTTCGAAGGTCTCCTGACAGGTCCTGGATATGGCTCGCAAAGCTGTTGCAAGGTCATATAAACCTTCTAAGCCCTGAACCTTAAACCCTAAACGCTAAACCCTAAACCCTAAACCCTAAACCCTAAACCCTAAACCCTAAACCCATTGTGTGGCAGACTCAACGTCCTTCTTGGACGGCGGAGGGGGACTGGTTCAGGGGCTCAGGGTGTAGGCTGCCGCAACAGCCCAAAGGACGAAAGGAGGGACCCTTATAAGGGGACCTTAGGGGTTCTTTAGGGTTTTTAGGGCCTACTTAGGTATATAAGGACTCAAGAAGGGTGTTTTTAGGGGTTGTAGGGGAATAAGATTAGGGGTCCCTTCTAGGGCCCTCCTTATACTCCTGAATCAGCCCTAGAACCCTACCAGCCATAAACCCCCAAAACCTAGAGCGCAGTTAATGGGGGTAGCATGGGAAGCCCCAAACCCAAACTGAATTCAAAACCCAGGACCTAGAAACCCCAAATGCTGTTCAGGGTTTGGGGCATAGGAGTTCTGGTTCTTGAACGTCCGTGGCTATCTTCTGTAGTAGTAAAGCCCTCCTTCACAAGCCCTGAGAGCCACATGCCACTTAGGCAAGGAAGTTTTGGTTTTTGGGTTTAGGTTTTGGGGTTCCGGCGAATTCGCGAATACACTAGAAGGTATGAAAATCATCCCTGTGGTGAATCAAGGGTCGGTTCCTAAAACCCTGAACCCTAAACCTAAACCCTAAACCGTAAACCCTAAACCCTACACCCCAAACCCTGAACCCTAAACCCTACACCCTAAAGGGGGTATCGAGCTCTGGGAGTTTCCCAGGCCATGGCCCGTCTCCGCTTCGACCGCCTCTGGCGCTCGGCCACTTCCAAGCTGAGGTGGGCTTTCGGGCTGTGCGGGCTTAGGGTTCAGGGGTTGAGGGTTTAGGGTTTAGGGTTTTAGGGGTTGTAGGGTGTAGGGTTTAGTGGTTTAGGGGTTTAGGGTTCAGGGTTTAGGGTGCAGGGGTTTCGGGTTTAGGGTTCAGGGGTTTAGGGCTTAGGGTCTAGGGTTTAGGTTTTAGGGGTTGGGGGTCGTAAAGGGTCTAGGACTGGTTAGGGCTCGAGGGTTTGGGTGGATATGTCGATGTATTCTGGGCCTGAAACACGCGAGAGGTGTTAGGTATGTGATGTGTCGAGTTTCTCGTAGGGTCTTTGGTTCAAGGGTGATGTGTTGTTCTGACGCCCTCAACCCTAGACCCTAGACCCTGGACCCTAGACCCTAGACCCTAGACCCTTGACCCCAAACCCTAAAACATAAACCCTAAACCCTAAACCCTACACCCTAAACCCTACACCCTACACCCTACACCCTACAGCCTACACCCTACACCCTACACCCTACACCCTACACCCTACACCCTACACCCTACACCCTACACCCTACGCCCTACGCCCTACACCCTACACCCTACACCCTACACCCTACACCCTACACCCTACACCCTACACCCTACACCCTACACCCTACACCCTACACCCTACACCAAGCCAGCGGTGTCAGAGTCTCGGGTTGTGGAGGCTGTAGATGAACCCGCGGGTTGACATGGGGCGGGGGGGGGGCCGATCCAAAGGGTCCTTCTTGCGAAACTCTAAGGGGCGTGGGATTAGTTTGGGAGCAGGTACCTTGATCAACTGCCCATTTCACCAGGCCAGTTGGGCCACCTCTGCTCTCATAAACAGTCAATCAGCACTAAAACGGCCGCAACAAGGGGCTGCAATCGCATGAGTGCCGGCGAGGCTTCCTCTTCTGGTGGTGTGTCTGGTCCTCGTGCTCGTGCACAAGGCGTCATGAAGGGGTCCGTGACAGCAGCTTGGGTAGGAAGAGAATCGCTAGCTTGAGACGCCACAATCCTGCAAGCCTTGTGTGGAGGACAGCACATCCTCACAAAGTTTCTTGGTCCGCCAGGGCTGCATTGGCAACTCAGAACGCAACATTTCTTCAGGAAGATCAGGAAGACCTAGCAATTTGGACAAAGAGAAGGTTGGAGCATTGTGTTCTTCACTTTGGAGGCATGGAGTCCTAAACCCTAAACACCTCAACTCTGAACCCTAAACCCCTAAACTTGTCAATTGACCCGTGTGCAAGAAGCCTCGTGTCGAGGCACGTCTTGGCGGAGCTCCCGACCCCAGAGGCTGGGGTTTAGCGAAGCCCTTCAAGCCCTAAACCCGAAACCCGAAACCCTCGGCACCCGAAATTTAGATACTAAGCCCTAAAGCCTAAACCCTAAACCCCAAACCCTAAACCCTAAACCCTAAACCCTATACCCTATACCCCAAACCCTAAACCCTAAACCCGACGTAAGCCTGTTTTTCTGCGCAGCTGGAAGGCAAGTGGCCGCTGCAGGCCCGATTTCCTGCCTCTCTCGGAGGGAAGTGGGCTGGGGCTTCCCGGAGATCCCAATACCAACCCTGAACCCCCTCAAACCCTAGAACTTAACCCCCCAAGACCTGAAAAGTTGCAGTCCGCAGAACCTCAAGTTTTTTTGAGGCACTTCTGGACCCTGATAGACTCATACGCGGTTCTTCGTTTGGGGTTTAAGGCCCTAATGGGTCTAGGGCCTCAACAAGACCTGTCTGTGGATTCCCGATTCTTAAGCCCTGTATCCCCGAGCCTTGAAGCCAGCCCCCAAGGACACCCCAAGTCCCAAAGGCTTGGCCCCCAAAGCTCAACGCCAACACTCTACTGTAAAACCTTCACTGCCTAAAACCCAAAAGCCCTAGACCCTAAACCCTAAACCCGAAACTGCAAAGCCCTCCCCTTTAAACCAGAATTGAGTCAGCAAGCCGCCTAAGCCCCTAGCAACTTGAACCCCCCCCCCCTGGAGGTTCATGGACAGACTTAAGTAGGGTGATAAGTATGGTAGCTGTGCTTACAACCCTTCTTAGGGCACTTGCAGACTACTTCTATCTACCCATGAACCTCCAAGCCATGCCGGAAACAGGATGTTTTTTGGGGGGGACTTTAGGGGGTGCAGTGGTTCAGTGGCTCAGGATTTTGGGGCTAGGTTTTGGGTCTAGGATTTTCGGTTTTTTTTGGGTCTAGGGTGCGCCGACGACCTCTGCGGAAGCCATCAGCACCAATTCCCATCAAAGCCCACTCAAAGAGGTGTTTCAGAAGACGTCAGTGACCGC